AGAGTAATCGCTCGAAAATTTTGCTCTATTAATAATTAAAACTCCTTCGAAGATAAATTTATTCATTTCTGTTTCTGAAAAAACAACAAAAATATCTCATGATAATCTTGGATATTTATAATTAACATAAATCAGTGCATCTATTGAGTATGCAATTTCCATTAAACGTCGCATTTCAGCTAGATCATGACCCTTAGATTATAAATAGATCAATCGGAGATAAATATTTTAATTTAGATGACGTACTTACGAACTCGAAATATTTTTATCTACCACTATCATCGGTATGGAAGATGATAAAGATATAAATTCTGCAGGTAGATTTAATAGGTGGTTTTTTATGTCAGTAAGTATACGTAAAATAAAAACACAAAAAACGGTCGGATGAAGGATTGAAAACCTGCACTCTTCGATTCGTCCTCCCTTTCAGAACGAGTATATCAAGGACTTTTCACGGTTGAAATGCTGACTCGGCCTAGGTTATCTGCGCCTCAAGTTTTAATGTTAAAAGACTGCAGATATATACAACTTCAACGATGAGTAAAATGAATGAAAAAAGAATAAAAGCCATAGACCCGTAGGATCGGCGTGGTTGAGAAAGAAAGTAATGATGATGCTAAGATTCAAAGACTCTTGTGCATCCACACGTTTTATCTATCTTCTTCTTATTATCTCGTTCTCTGTTATACCCATATACTTGACCGTACACTGTATGCGATGTAAACAGTACGGATGTTGGCATCCCTGACCGGTCGAGTGCATCGCCACGGCGGACCTTGAGCGATTATTTTACTGCGAACGGCTTGCACTGGCTCGTCTTTAATGTTGAAGATTCGCGAGTACCATTTTCTCCTTCTCGTTTGCCTTTTCTCACTTTCTATTACGATGTATTTTCAAACTGCCCTTGGCTACTTGTTTTCACGATTAAAGATTTTATTTACATATTCAACTGACTGAAAAGAGATACTAATGGTAAAGCCGTGTCGTTAGATACAAAGTCAAGATTTAATCTTTTTTCTTTCAATGATAATTATGTCTCCTGACACTTAGTCAAGGTTTCGATGATGCTTGCAACGCACATCAAACGCCTTTGGCATCTATTTCAAGTAGTGCAATTGCTACTTTTAATTTAGATATAACACATAAACGTTGCAGGTAACCTCAGTATCGAGGAAGCATCCGCCCGCGCACTTCTCTCAAGGTCTGATCTTAAATTCAACTACTTTATATACATAGTTATCAAGATATATATCGATGTGTATCAAGTTGTGTCGCAGCATTTTCAATAGCAGCTTGTAGTAGATACGGCACGTGCGTTCATACTCGCGCGTGGCAATCAACTTTCGTGTATGTACTACTACGTAATAAGCTATTCATATTGCGCAGATTTTCCCGCCAACGTTATTGTACACGTGGCGCCTAATGTATATAACTTGTTCTATGTACATCTATTTATTCACGTTCACAAGCTATTGTTTTATTTTGTTTTCTTCTTTTCCAGTAAAAAAAAAATAATCATCACTGGAAAGTATTCCGCATCTACAAATAAAGAAATACGTCAAGAAAGTTGTGGTAAAATTTTATTTAATGTATTCTTTCGAAATACTCTCGTTCTTTATAGACAAACGGTGCAAGTCGTAAATGGAAGTCTTTTGAACTCTCTCAACGCGGAATTGAACGTAATGTACGTTAGGTTTATTTACACAAGTGGCGTTGCATTGGAAATGTGCAGCACTGTCCATTGCAAGTATCTCACTTATAGTATTCTCTTTCTGATCTTCTTAAACTCTTTTGCTTATGTTGGTATACTTGTTACCTCGCTGCGCGGTTATTCCTCGCAAAGTGCTCCGACCGATACGCGATCACGAAGTGAACAACCTCGGGTGAGTTCATCTACAGGGTCCAGGTGAATAAGGAACCTTGAAAGAGAAGATCTAACCTATCGTTATCGATAATTTACACACTAATTCATTAATCAACCTCAACTTATTTCCTACCAACATGTACTTTATTTATTTGATAAATTTTTACTTCTTTTTTTCGGCTGTTTATTAGCATTAATTGATCGAGTATAACTGAAATTAAGCAACAGGCACATGCAAATGCATATAGAGATTGCACTCAGGGTGTTCTCAGACGTGAGTAAGGTCAGGTATTTTAGCATAATCGAAACAAAACTCGTGACGCAACGGTCCACAAACACACTAGCGAGTCACGAAATGATAAGAGCCTGTTATCGAGTTATCGGCACGACGACCTTGTCGACATTTGAAGACGTTCGAATATTAAAGCACACACTCTCTCTTTATATATCTTGATAACGAATAATAAAAACTCTGATTGCATCAGAAAAATGGCTATGTAATTTATTATAAAAACGTTAAAATATTGTTTGTAAGGAGATTGGAGAATGTTTTTGAGTTGAAAGTTTTCATAAGCTGATAATAATTGAAGCAATACAAAAAATAGTTCAATAAACGCAAAATTTATTAGTTGATTTATGAAATGAGTGACAATAATCAACTGTCTGGTAGAACTGTCTAGTGTAAAGTGATAAATAATGTATTATTTTCCTAAACACGTAAATGAACGTTTGTATAATGCATTCTCACCTCATACGACATTCTCGTACGATATCGCACGCGATTCTTGAAATGAAAAATTTCAATATGGATGTAACAAATGAAAATTAGAAATGATTAATGAATGTCGGGGCCAACGAAGAAGACTTGGTTTAAATTAAGCATGAGTCAATCATATGTAGACTTTTAAAGCGATATATTCAAGTTAAAAGTGATTCTTGACTCTCAAAAATATCACTAGGCTATTTACATCACTGTAATCAATATTTTTTTAATGATAATTTTTTTTTTCTTTATGTATGTTAATGAACATAAAGTTATATATTTTTTTTACTGTTTCTAACGATTTTTTGTTCTCACTAATATACATAAAAAACTCATAATCGATAACATTATCTATAAGTAGTATTATCAATCATTTAACACTTGTTTATTTTCCTTATCTACAGGTAATTTATATTTAGGGATATCTATCCAATTGTAGTTGCCATAAATTCGTAATTAACCCTATCTATTTTCATCTGACAATTGAAAATTTCCAATGCATTTTAAATTTATCTAAGAGAAAATAATTTTTCTTTCAATACCAAAAGAAAAACCAAGTTCAATAATATTTTTAAATTCAAGATTCTGAATGAAACGTAAATTGTTTGGACAGGTCAATGATCTACTTTCCGTTATTAACGAGTTGATATGTAAATTTTATTTTCACAGAATATTTTTTATTTTTATTTTCTTTTACTGCATGAAACATTTGCTAAATGCAATGTTAAAATTTTTTTTTTTTTTTTCAAGAGGTAGATTTTTAAATTGCTTTCAGAATGATCATTTTCTTTTCACCTATGTAATACTAAAAAACATGTATAAATACTTTCCTGGGTTTGTGTAGTGTATAAAAACTTCGATAAAAATATTCAGACGTAATAAAATAACATCGACAGAAATCAACTGGCTCATGTCCCAAGAGCAATCATGTAGAATGTAATTTTTTTCTCCACTATAAAAAAACATGCTGCGAATTTTTTTATCAAGCCGGTAACATGGAAAAGAAATGAAATAAAATAGCCGCAAGAAATTGAAAAAATAAAGTATTAGAAAAAAATGGCCGGTTGGCATTGTGACAATTAAACAAAAGTGATTCGACAAATAAATTCGTTGAAATCTGAAGCTGGTATAATTTTCTTCGTGCATGTTGTACTCATAATAGACTTGTTATTAATAGCTGCTGCGCATTATCGTTCATGCATAGCCGTGCGAAGAAGTCAGGAGTCACTAATCTTCATGAATCAAGTCGCGAAATGTATTCGTACGGGGCAACTTAATTGCATATACCTTCACTTTTGTCGTGTTTGCAAGTGGCAATGAGAAAAAAAAACCAAGAGTGATAGGTACCTCTACCGGGGTCGATACAGCTAATTCTCGTTATTTATATTTTTTTTCCACGATAACGTGGGACGATGCCTCCACGCGATATACATATCAACGTGCATAATGACCTCCGACGAATTGTGAAGGCAACGGCAATATAAATACTAAGAATAACCACGTATATTTTAAATATTCGAATGTCAATCTTTCATTTCTTTATTTAGTATCATATATACGTCAGAATGTTATTTTTCACTTGACTTTAGTGCAAAATTATTTATAACTTGTAATAACAATTTATTTAAAAAAAATTACTCGTCATCAATTTGACGATAAATCAAATGTATAATTGCCACTAATCGCACTTAATTTATTCATGTAAAGCAAAAAATTGTAAGCGTTATTATAATAATCGTATTACAGAAGATGGTGTAATATTATAATTTTTATGGATTTGAAAGGAAAGGTAATGAGGATGATAGAGGAGAAAAAATTGCAAAACTAGTATCGATTTATTTTTAAATTATTTTTTAATTATTTCGATAAAAAATGATATAAATCGGGTACTTAACAACAAGATAATAAGTATTATAAACAAGAGGACTAAATACAAATGTACAATGGTTTTTTCATTAAAGTTATTTGTTAGCACAACTTCTTTTTTTGTTATTTATAATTATAACTTAATATACTAAAATTCATAACTTAGAGACACCTTTTTTTTTATATTTTTTTTAACTTTTCATTAATGGATATTTTTATTATGTTTAATGATAATAAAATCTGACATATTCCAGCTAGTACGAATACTTGCTTATGAATAATAACGTAAATTCGATTGATCGCTCTGATTTATATTTAAAAAAAAAAAAAATAAAAAAACAAACATAACGAAAATAATTAGACAGAAATAAAAGAGAGAAAGAAACAAAAGAGAAATTTGAATCAAGCATAGAAAAAAAATGCTAAAGAAAATGAAATACGAATTAAAGATAGATAGTAATTTATTTAATAAATGATAAGATAAGATAAATGAACGACAGTCATAGGCATTGCAAATTTTCTTTGTGTAAAAATATTGCTACGTTTTGTCAAGTTATTTTTTAATATTTTTTTTTTAATATCAATTTCATTTATATTTTTTTTTTTTTCATTCAGCTCTTTGACGACGGCGTTTAAATATTTCGATTACTCATTTTTTGTAATTATTTATTAATTGGAAAATATAAGTTTATCGCAAAAAAATAGATACCTTTGCCAAAAAGGGAATTTCATTTGTTTTACGTATCTCTTTCAAGTGCTTTCCAAATAATTAGCAAGCCTCGCAGAAACATTTATATTGCACTTTGGTGTATACTCCATATTACATTTTAATCATTTCACTGTTCGAAATCGAAATGAGACAAGTTATATTGCATTGAGTTTTTTTTTATTAAACTCATAGATCAATTTATAAGTTAATAATAAATCCTATTGCCTCATAATATTGAGTCGTAAATCGAACAGTGTCACGATGTATTGATATATTTTGAATGGTAATTGCAGAAACCTCGACTAGGGAAAAGTCTTTAATTTCTATGATGCATATACTCTGCGAGTATTATTAAGATACGTGAAAACTGACGGAAATTTTAATCTGAATTTTTTTTCTTCTCGATTTTTTTTTTTTCAAATCTTCATACCAAAAGTAAACGCTAAAATAAGGTAATAGTGACCACAAACATCAATAATCATAAGAATAATAATAATAATAATATAATTGATAATTAATCAATTGAATTCTTCTTAACTTGGTGAATCTAATAATTAATAATAGTGTACGATAATCATAATTATTTTGCATAGTCAGAGGACTCGTTGAAAAGAAAACGAAACTTTTTTTAAACTTTCTTCTCTTCTTTTGTATTATTACAAATTTAGAAGCAGCATTTCTTGCATTAGAAAAATGTATTTATTACTTTTCACAAATCGCTTTCAATTGGACATATATACACTCTAAAAAATTTTCAAATCTACTACACACCTATTAGGTTTCAATAAGTCTTGTATACAAACAAATATATAATAATTGATAAATATTTAATAAATATCAACTGAGTAATATACTTGCTTGCATGGCAATTGTGACTTTCTTTAGCTTAAGTTGTTAAAAATTGAAAAACCTAATTATGAACAACCATAAAGAAATATTTCAGTTTTAAATTGAGAAAAACTTTAGGTACATAGTAACATGTGGTTGAGCATCAATTTTAAACTATCGTGATTAAGGAACGATTTCACGTCAGTTTAAATTGCACAAACTGAGATACTTCTCAATTGATGTTCGTGATAATAAATAATACGAATCTCAACGAGAAAGAAAAGAAAGGTGATACTTATTTTAATTGAAATACAATATTCTAATTAGTGATATTGTATTGGCTTGCATCAGCAGTATGAATGGAAAATTACTGCAATGAGGATTGATTTAGGAAGCACAAACGACCATTCATTTACATGACCAATCACCTTTCCTATTTCTCAACAGTTTCGTGTATTCAACTGAGTAATAGTTTTTTTTATATATATTTTCTTGTTTAACATTAATTCAAATTTTTTTGTCAATTTTTTATTATTCCACCCCTACAATAATTGGTAAATTTGTTTTGCAATATCAAAAAAGTTTCGTGATCTTAAAGTGATTAATTTTTTTCTCCATTTTGTTTTACAATTGTTATTTATGAATACCATATAGATAATTATGGGATAATTATATTTTTCTAATCACAATTTGCGCAAATTACCACTTTCACAAAGACAAATAAGCCACAAAAATTTTAATTTTATGTTGCTTTACTCGTTTATATAAATATGTAATGACAAACATTTGTGTTTGATAATTTTGAAAAATTTTGAATCCTCCATCATGCTAAAAATTTGCAAATTTCTACCACTTGTGACAAGTTGAAATATTCCTTAGCATTTTTTTTTTTTTTTTTGGCACCAGAATCCCCTGAAAATACAATTTTTACTCCGAAAACCGCACTTATAATTTTTAACATTATTTCAAAAAAATTATAGCTTTTTCTTTATTGCTCTCGCATGAAAACCTTTAAATGTTTTTTTTTTTTTTTTAATTTTTTGTCACAAATATCAGATATTGAATCAAACCTCAAACAAACCACTGACTACTAACATTTCGTTAAAATACGCACAAGTGTAACATAAAACAACTTGCATGATTGATAATTTTTTATCTAACTTTACTTTTCTCGAACCAACATTATAGCATTGACATTTTATGAACGAAAATCCTATTGGCCTTTTTTTATAACTATTTATATAAGGGCCAGTTAAACAAATCTTCAACGCAATAACCATCAGCAAATATATTTCCATTAAAGCACGAAAAATTAAAATTAAATCAATTAGTTAATTAAAATATAATATTAATTATTATTTTTGACGCGAAATTAAATTGATATGTGTCCATTCTTTCGATCGTAACTTTTTTACGGTATCTTAATTAATTATATATTTCTACTGACATTAAAATTACGAATTCGCGAAATGATTAAAATTGTACAATTTATTACACTGTGTCAATAATTGATGAATAAGTGTAGGAATAATTATTTTGTTTGCCAAAAAGACAATGTAAACTTTTAATTTTTATAATAGTTATTACATTAAGACTGCAATTGTTTTTGTTAATAAACCTTGTCATCAACTACACGTATCTACCAACTATTCTGCGTCTATGAATGCCTGTGATCGTCTGATTTATTTTGTTTCTATTGTGTTTTTTCCAGAGAAAGTCACAGCCTGTATTTGTATAATTCTTGTTACTGTTCCACCACATCATCTCTATAAGAATGTAATTTTACTTTTTTGTATTTTTCTGCATATTTTTTTATAATTTCATTTGTTATTGATCAACTTTTTTTATTCAATCAACTATCTCGTTATCTCGCGCATCAAATAGTAATTTTTTAAATAGCAAACATGATTGTTCAATGAAAATTTGTATTGATCTGTAATATTCAATACTATTTTTAAATTAATTTTTCCTCTTTTTGTAAATAGACGTCTAACATCACTTTGTTTTTTTTTGGCCCTGTATTTAATTTTGTACAAAAGTTTCAAGACCGGAATGATAGGCACTATTTTTGTTTTATATATTTTTTATTTTGTTTTTTTTTTATTACTATTTGTTTAAATTAATTTCTTCGTTCATGATTTTCAAAATGTTTCTTTCTCTCTTATTTTGTCTCTTTCTTTCGTGTCTCTTATTTTCCATTATTTCTCCTAATAAACATCCGCGAGTTCGACCGTCAAAATATTGTTTGTAAAAAAAAGGTATGCATTGTTAAGCTTGATCAAAGGCTAATTAAATAAGCATAGAAATAGTTTAGTCATAAATATGTATGACCATATAATATGCTCTTAACATCCTTTACTGAACGATCACTCTTAACGCACACCAGTAGAAATGCGAATAGACCAATATGAACCGACTCAAAAAATGTCATTAATAGTTAAAGAAAGATTGATTGTGGGGTGGTTGTTTATTTTTAGTGTTATTCATCATAATATAATAATATTTATTATTAATTAATTAATTATTAAGTAAATGTAAAGAATATGAGATCAAAGTTTAATAACATATTTCCATAGTCTCGGGATTATTTTTTTACCATAGACTTTCAAAAACAAACTAAAAGAAGGTCAGCCATTCGCAATAATAATCCTAATATTAATATGATGAATATTAATATTAATATTATTAATAATAATAATAGTTATAATGATAATAGCAATAATGATAATGATAATAATATAAGAATAATAATATTAATAATAATAAAAACAGATAAACAAACAGAAACCCAAAATCAAATGATTCATTAAAGAGATAACGTTGAATTAAAACTCTGCAGTAATTATTGACAGAGTACGTGTAGCGGAAATGTAAATTTATTTCCGTATTGCTACTCACATAAACCCATTATGAACGCAAATATTTAATCAATAAAAAAAACCGTTATATTTTGTGTTTTACAACCCTTACCGTAACATTTTAATGTTTTTTATATCAAGAATATACATATTCAGAAATTTTATTCTTTTATAATCTCCTTTTCTCAATTCACGTTCTATCTCTCGATTATATACTCAAAAAAAAAAAGATTTAATCATGCCGAGGCATCGCGTTGAAGCGGCTGTTTGATTTTTTTACATTATTTGCCACTTAAAAAAAAGAGAAAGATATTCACTCTGAGTGTGTTTGACTTTTTTCTTTCACTTATCTCCCGTTTTATTTATATTATTTTCTTTTAAATTCAAAAAACTTAAAACTTAAGATTGCTCTTTATTCCATTAGTTTTTTTGAAAAGTTTAGTTTATATATTAATGAATATGATTCTAACGATATACACAACAAAAAGGACTTGGCCAATGATCATAAATAGCCCGAAAACAAGGCGATACAAAAAGCGCAATTACCGTTAACTATAGCGAAGAAGTTACTATATCTGGAAAAAGTGAAGACTGAAAAGTTAATAATCGCCCTGTTTTCGGATGCCATCACGTTCATCAGTAGCTCCTCTCTCATATTTCGTACAAAATCGTCTCTTATCAACTAGTATACTACAATACATATACAAAAACTCTTATTTATAATCTAGAATTTAAGTAAATATTTTTAATTATCGTACAAGGATGACGAACTCGGATGAAAAAACAAACCAAATGTGAGTTTTTAATTCGAAACATTTGTATTCTTTGTTTTTTTCGAGACTTGGCCGAGTTAAATTACGGCAGACGGCAGTGAAAGACGTTGAAGCACGAGCAGCACATTTGTAATTGGACTTTATTCATGCATTATTTTAGCACGAATATGCATTCCTTAAATAAACGACGTGGAAGTAACAATCGTTTTATCATTATCTCTTTCATTATTAAATAATCTTGATAAACTCGTGAATCATTTATTAACAAATTATGAAAAATTCTTTCCAACCCACAATCGAAGACTACTGGAAATTGTTACCGAGTTCTTTTCTTCTTTTTTTTCAATTTCCCCGATTTATTAGCATAAGTTAGATATAATAAATAGGAAGTTTTTTTCTTCCTTCAAAAATTCAATTCACTAGCGCCCCATCCATTGCCATCGATGCCAGAGAGCATGTCCGTGACATCAGGTGTACAGGTGAATTCAAAATGCTCTGTACTATTTGAGCTAGCGGTATCAAATGATTCGAGTTCATTGGCAATAGTATCCATATCAAGCTCGAGGCCAGAAGAAAAGTCGGACGGTTGGATTTGAAGAAGGTCCGTAATAGAATCGAGATCAGCTAAACTTCCATCCACAGCAGCGGGAGTGGGATTGGCAGACTCTTCCATCTTGATCGTTGAATTACTAAGTGAAAGAGTTGTCGGAAGCATGTTTGCTGTGTGTACTCTGTCATTCGGCTCCTCCTTCACCATTATATAGTTTTGAATGTGACAAGAGTTGGTGGACGGGCATTGAAAACTTCTGCCAAGCGTGTTTATTTGAGGAAAATCACTATTGGCCAAAAGTCTATCATTCGTGTAGTCTGTCGAAAAATCCATGTCAATTTCTTCTTTGATTTTCATTGGAGAATTAATCATTCTTGAAGTCGCACCAGGTACGTTGGTCGTTGTATTCACTAGCCCTGATGGACAGTCGTGGTAGTTGTCTTCATAAAAGCTCGCTGACTCTGGAGAATCAGGCGTGTCACATGATGGACTACTTGGCACTTTGGCCGTAACAATAGGTGGCACGGGAGGATAGTCCATGGAGACAGGAGGCCTTTTATCTAATGCCAACTTGACTTTGAGCCTTGACACAGGATTCGTGGTAGGTTGAGCTTGAAGCCTCTTGACAGGAGAGTGTGTGTTATTGTTTGTATCATTTCTTGATTTCACAGAGGATACAGTTGTAGTAGCGGTCGTTATCGTTGGATTAGATGAGGCAAAAGACGTTGGAGATGAAGATGATGAGGATGGTGATGATGATGACGACTTTTTCGATTTTTTGACCTCTTTTGTTTTAGGTGGTGATGCTGGTTTTGATGCTTTTTTCCTTGGTCTATATTTGTAATCTGGATACTCCATCATATGCAGCTGCCTCAACCTTTCAGCTTCTTCAATAAAAGGTCGTCTTTCTGATTCATCCAATGTCTTCCAACGTCTACCAAGTCTTTTACTGATTTCAGCATTGTGCATGTCAGGTTGGACTTCACATATCTTTCTACGTTCTATTTGAGACCATACCATAAATGCATTCATTGGCCGTTTGATGTGATTAGGGTTGTTTTTCTTTGTCTGTAACAAAAATATTAAAAGAAACCATTAGTGTCTGCCATTGTTAACAATAGGGTTATATGAAGAAAGAAAAAAGAAATACAATGGAAAATATTAATCGTTATTTGCATTAACTTAATCATCTGTTAGAATGAAAAATAAAAACCAAGTAATCAATCTAAATACTTCATTAGCGTACACACCCTAATAAGAAGTGGCTTGATAATTGAACTGAAAATATAGGTCAAGGAGATACGATGTAAAAAAAATGAAACGTGAGAATTACAAAAGGAATGTATGACCTAAAATAAAACGAAAAGAGGGTGTTTGCTGGTCTTATCGAGCACCTGGATATAATTTGACTTTCATATCATCTGGTAATAGAGATCCACCCTCGCTATTAAGTTGAAATTTATTGAGCCCATTCAGACACACCTGCCGAAAACAACGCGAGATTCATGTTCATATAACAAGCAAACAAAATTAAGAGTGATTTTATTAGGGATCAATGACTGGATGAGCAACGTGGAGATTTCTTGGAAGAGATGATACGAAAGTGCAGCGGCAAGGAAGAAGAAATGAAGAAAAAGGCGCCAGCGTCGCGGCGCCAGTGCAAGCATCATGAGCATTCAAAGCCTATCGTTGATGCTGCTACTGGCGACTCTACGTCGCGACTTCACTGACGAGCTTCGTGTTAAAAGTGCTCTTCCGCCGTCGCGAATACAAGCTGAGATGAGTGGACTTCTCTCATCGCTCCAGGAGATCACGTTCTCACGGCGCATTCTGTTATCTTCTATGTCATCGAGTCGTTATAAATTCGACATGAGAATGTCATCAACGTACATTTTGTATATTCTTCAAAAGTCTAGGAAACAGTCGACTATTCCACTTACTCAATTAAGGTCATTAATTATCTACATATACTATTCAACTTTGCAACTCTTCAGATTTAATTAACTAAACATTTTCTACTCAATTTAATTAGTTTTACATTTTGAATGGATCATAAATATTTTGACTCATACCAGATGGTCGTTTAGTGATTCTAAATTCACTAATTAAAAATATTATGTGATAATATTTTCACATATTCTAAAATTTCTTAACCAGTTAAACTCTTTGAGTATAGTTCTCACGACCACTTTTGTCACCTTTGACGCTACTCATGGAAAACTCGTCAAGCTGGTGCGTTGCACATGCACAGTTAGTATAAATAATCGTTAGTTGTCTCAACTGCTTTTTTTTACATTTCTTGTTCTCTCTGTTGCTACTTTAAAATACTGGTGTCAAGATAAACACAACGATCAGTTCAATATAATGAGAAAACGCATACGGATTTCACAAGTGGATGATACATCTGGTTTTCTAGTTTTCTTATCCGGATCATCTTTCATTGTATCATTACACTATTTTTATATTTTTTATTTTATATGCACTACATCACACATTTTATATTACACTTTGCAAAATAAATAAGACTAAATGATGAAATAAATTTACTACTACATAATAAATTTGTAGTAACATGATAAATTTTATACTTTATCTGAATTTATATAAATAAATAGCAACAAATAAAAAAAAGTAATTTTAAAAAAATGATTGATTTATTTTCGATTGAGACTGCCCTTCTCTGATCAATAGTCGTGACTTTAAGGAAAGAAATCCAACAAGTTGAATGCAGCTAAATTTCCTGCAGACTTTCTAAACCCCTATCTTGCTTTACATGATGAATGATATGCAGGCCAAGGTTCGCTCCTCCCTGTAAGATGTTTCATATTTTTTCTTGTAATTTTTTAACTATTTTCTATCACCTTGAGTTTATTTCATAACGGTATGAGTAATAAACCCAGAGAAAAAGTCAAGTCATAAAGTTAATGGCTAAAAGGTGCCGAATGTGCTCGAAAATTCTCTTTATATCAATTTAATAACAAGAGCATCTTTGTAGTTAACACATTAGGGTAAAGAACTTTATGAAAAAAAACATCTTTTTTATATCTTATATTTATTGTACATTATCTTTATGTGTAATTTATTGCAACTGTGGCAAACTGCTATCAATTATACTGTATGTTATTGTTGTTATTATTATAAAGTCAACCGTTTTCATATTTTTCATTTATGATTACAGGACACCTGCATAGGCTTTCCCCAAGGTAGATGATATGATACAAAAGAGAAAAAGGTAATAGTGTTTCAGTCTTTTGATCTACATCTTTATATACATATATATATTCTTCCTTTTCATGTATGTGCATTAATAAAAAAGGTATCGTGTTAAATCATCTCTTTTCATCCCCTAAAGTAGAAAAAGGTACTTTTAACATAGGTGTTAAAGTCCTAAGATTTTATTCAATTCCCCCTTCGGATCAAGGATAAAAAGAAAAGCGAAAACGGGGTGCTGGAGTCTATACTGAGATCACGATTTAATTGACAAAAAAAAATCGTAAAATAGAAATAAATAAAAAAAAGGAAAAAAGAACATATCTTTCAAGTGTAACATAAACGCTTAAATGACTTTGTATAAATCTTAGTCATAGATCTCGATCAAAAGAATTATTTTATTTTTTATTTTCTTTCTTGTATTATGTATATATATATATATATATATATATATATATATTTAACTCGTAAAGATATACCCTGAGCAGACACGATCCAGATCCCAGATCATCATGCACTGGGAAAATGAAGCAAAGATGAAAGAAAAAAAAGAATGAAAAGCGTTAAATAGATGTGTGCCAAGGCGAATACGATTTAACCCCACATGTATATAAATGTAGTACCACCTGGCCTACTCTCTCACATTATCAGGGATCATGTTAGATTGATTCTTCTTTTAATTCTATTTAATTGTTATCACGATGTTGAGGATAGACTGATGATGGTTTGTGCTCAAGTGCGTGAGTTACTACTTGCCAACGATTTAAAACGCTTACAATGACGCGCCTTGCAAGGTCTCCCACATAATTATTAGCTCACAGAATGCGTATCTACCTTTGTTTTAATGTTACTCGTGTTCTATGCATTGAACGTGGTATCTTGATATATCCAATGTACGTATGCAACGCCACAAAACACTAAACGCAAATTCGTAACAGCAACAAGTGCATACATATTCAGGGGCATATTAGCTTTGGTTAGCAATTAGGCTGATAGTGAGAAAGAGAGCGTGCGGTTGTAAAGGACGCACATGTGGCTGTTTATTATACTGATCGGATTTCCACAGAGTTAAATATCGAGATTATTATATACCAACTCTATAAACATTTGCACACAATCGAGTCTTTAAATAGTCAATGTGAATAATTTTTTATCGGATAAGTATGTGAATAAGAAGATTGATCGATGAAAAAAAAAATGATTAATCTATCTAAGCTATCGAACTTGAAATTATATTATAAGGATTAATACCATATATGCGATCAAGTGCGTCCCTCAGAGCTCGTTGTACACACGCATTTATGCACGCACAATTGCTCTTTACTCGCTTGCAACGATGGCTTAGCTATACACTCTGTTAACGTTATAGCCGAAGGCCATGATACCGAGTTGAGATGCAGGTCTGCCTCTCAACACGACCTTAGTCTCCTCACTTCCGTCAGCTGCAGGCTAATGGTGAATAATATATAATAATAATACTTGGTACTTGTCATGTTTTCGTTCGTTCGTTTTTTATTCGCCACGTAAACTAGACAAAAAATAAACCGTCTGGATTTGGCTGTAAACCTGTAGATGTATGGGTAATTTCAAGCTAACATGAGTCAGTTCTTTATTGTCATTTATCCGTCAACGTGAATGAGACTTTTAATTAGGATAATACAATGAAAGCTTTTTAATTAATGAAATAGACCCATGTTTTTGAACTCGAGGTTGCGTTTAAGAGAAATAGGAAGCCGGAAAGCAACTCAAGAGTACTTGTAAGTACCTCTAGATTGTACTGGCAAGGATCAAGGCGTTTGCGCAACCAACCGCGCGCTCTTGGAATCTCTTTGTCGCTTCCTAGTCGGGCGACGCACGTCCATGGCAAACACGGAATCGTCATTTTGTCTTGAGAACGTGAGAAAGCTTGGAATGAGTTTTTTCCTTAGTTTCATCGTCTTTAGTAATGAGAAGAAGTCATAGAAGTGTAAATCGAGGTATCGATACTCACATAAATGGTAAAGGGGCTTGTGTATATGCAACACAGGAAGTACTAAAACACTCTTTGATAAGAGAGTTGCTGAAAGATGACAGATAAGTGAGAAACTGTTAATTTTTTAGAATTATTGTCACTGTAGTTAATGAGTTTGTTTTAAGAAATGGTACTTCAGTTCAGATGTAAATAAAAAATATAATAACGTGATAATCAAGAAAAAAAAAACAAACAAAATACTACAAATTGGTTAATAAATAAAACACAATTGTGAATTTTATTACGAATTCACACGTTTTTATATTTTATATCTCTTGCTCGGGAGACCATAACGGGATTAAATATTCAAATGTAATTTTTTTTATTTAAATAACCGTGGAAAAAACGTTTTCATATTATTAAAATAGATTTTTTCTGATTTTTTATTCAGTGACAAAATTATTCTAACCTTGAAACTAGATAGTTATTTTTTTTGTCTTATCGCTATTGAAAAAAATTAACGAGATAATTTAAAATTAGTGGCATATATCTCTTACTCCGATCTCGTCAGACTAATCAACATGAGTATGAAAAATTATGAAATCGTTTATCACCCGCGATCGAATCTCTGAGGATGAATTCATTTCGCAGACCTTGAAATCGCGTGAGTAAATCGATTGGACTTTCATATTTTTTATTTCTTTGGAGCTAAAAAAATCGTCATAACTCAAAACGGAGCAAACTTTTTTCTGAACTCATATACAAAATCAGAGACAATTAAGAGAGAGAAAGAGAAAGAACAAGTTTAAGCTTGTTTGTGATAAAATCATCGAAAAAAAATTTTCTGAGTCACTGTTCAAATAAAAGGAAAAAAAAATTCCACGATAGAGACATTGATTTAATTGAT